GGGCCCCTAGGAATTAGGTGGCCGTGCCATTGCACTATCACTCAGTGATAGTGCGATGGCATTGTGGATCGGTCCAGGGCCGAGCTGCGGCCTCGGCCCTGGATTCCTCCATTGCACGATCACTGAGTGATCGTGCGATGGAGGAGCCAAGGAATGAGGCCGCAGCTCGGCCCTGGACCAGTCCGCAATGCCATCGCACTATCACTGAGTGATAGTGCAATGGCACGGCCACCTAATTCCTAGGTGGCCTTACTTTTAAGGTAAGGCCACCTAGCTAGGTGGCCTGATCGGTCGAATGGGCCACCTAACTAGGTGGCCTTACCTTAAAAGTACGGCCAGCTAGGGGTTTGGTGGGCCCTCCATCGCACGATCACTCAGTGATCGTGCAATGGAGGAATCCAGGGCCGAGGCCGCAGCTCGGCCCTGGACCGATCCACAATGCCATCGCACTATCACTGAGTGATAGTGCAATGGCACGGCCACCTAATTCCTAGGTGGCCCCTTCATTGCACGATCACTCAGTGATCGTGCAATGGAGGAATCCAGGGCCAAGGCCGCAGGTTGGCCCTGGCCCAGTCCGCAATGCCATCGCACTATCACTGAGTGATAGTGCGATGGAGGGGCCACCTAATTCCTAGGTGGCCTTACTTTTAAGATAAGGCCACCTAGCTAGGTGGCCTGATCGGTCGAATGGGCCACATAGGAATTAGGTGGCCCCTCCATCGCACAATCACTCAGTGATTGTGCAATGGAGGAATCCAGGGCCGGGCCCCGGACCAATCCGCAATGCCACCGCACGATCACTGAGTGATCGTGCGATGGCACAGCCACCTAATTCCCAGGTGGCCTTACCTTGATGGTACGGCCACCTGACAGCTAGGTGGCCTTACTTTTAAGGTAAGGCCACCTAGCTAGGTGGCCTGGATGTTCCAGCCATACCACCTAGCAGCTCAGGTAGGTGGCCTTTCTGGCTGGAACATCCGCATTTTTTTTTTCTTATTTTTTTTTTTCAAAATTATAATTCAAATAAAAAAAATTAAATTTATATATCTGATTCAAAAAAATTTCTTTTCAGAATTAAATAAGATGAATTTTCTTTTCGGAATTAAATAAGATGAAACTTAGGGCGCGTTCACTTAAGCAATTTCTGGTGAGAAATCACATTCTGCAAAATTTAAAGTGTCTATTTGGTGGTGCATATTGCATTTTTGCATTAAAAAATTTGCAGAATGTGATTTCTGGTCAGAAATTCCTTAAGTGAATGCGCCCTTATAGTTTCATAGGGAAATGATTTTTTTTTCACCATTAAAATCAAAATATCATAAATATGTACATTGAAACACATTGGTACAATCACTGCCAGCATAGATGCCTTGGGTTGAGATATCCGAGGCATCATTGGAGGCAAATCCTCGGACAGACCTTGTCCGAGGTTTTTGCCCAAGGTATGTCTTCGCCCTGAGAATTACCTCGGATCAAAACCTCGGGAAGCTTCTGTCTGAGGTTTTGCATCTGAGGATACCTTGGATTTTGTAATCCGAGGTGAATATGTTGGTGGTGAATGTGTTTGAAAGGAATATTCGGTTTAATTACTCATCCATTTTTATATATGTACTAGCAAATTGCGGCGGGCGCCGCTTTAGCGGCTGGCGCCGCCACTCTACTTTGGGTCCAAATCAAAACTACACTTGAAAAACTCACACCAGGTCAAAATCAGGTACAGTCATTTTATCTGATAATGAGCACAAGATAAATTACTCGCAAAGACACCAAATCACATGATAAAAGGAAGCAACAAGCCACCATAATTTTATCTGCACATCAAAGCCATATGTTCTAAAATACGTGCCCACAACAGATAATTATCACCAGTTCAACAAGTTAAGCACAGTTAACCAAGGACAATCCTCCTGACTGTCAACAAAACTATAACAATTCCGCAGCAATACCACAGCCACCGTGTAACACTTCACAACACCCGATGTCAAGGGGTAACAGAAAAAAAATTTGACTAAGCAAAAGAAATCAAAAAATTCAGATAACCTTCACATATGAAAAACCAAAATTGAATGTATTTATAGATCACCAAGAGATAAAGCAGAAAAAATTACCTCACAAATCATAAGACAGGATCGCTTTTCACCTCATTAAGCAAATTCTGTTCACATTGTATATACAGAAGCCAAAGTCAGACTTAAGCTGCAAGTGATATAATGATCACTGAGCACGTACCAATAAATCCGGCATTGATAATCGATGTCTGAAAATACACAATAAGCCGTATTGAGCACATAGCTCCACCAACTCCGGATCCTTTTGGCCTGAGCCATGGCATGAAGTGAAAATAATGTATTTGAAATTGCGAGGTTTTTGGAGCGAATGAACATTGGGACGTTTTAAAGCTGTGCGCCAATAACTACCTCCTTCGTGATAAGTTGTGATGAAGTACTCCATTTTGTCAAAGATACGCCATAATAACCAAGAGAGATTCGAATGCTGCGGGTCGCAATCGACTGCACGTATCACTCGGAGTCAAGGGAAGACTTCAACCCCTATAGCAAGAGGTATCACATGTGTAATAAATCCCAAAGACAGAATTTTGAGTGAAGGCCGTAAGGGCAAGATCATATCACTTGATTCGTTCATGTCACGATGAGTCTGGCACTCGAAAAATTTCACATTCCTTCCTGCAGTACGACAGAAATTTGTAATTGCATCCACATTATTCGAGTTACACTCCACCCACAAATGATGTAAATTCGGCAAAGCACCAGTTCGCAAGGTCAGATCATCGAAAGATGCACACCCAATAGACAGAGACTCCAAGGAAGGCAATGAGTTGAGGACCTGTCGCAAGGAATCGCTGTTGTTACGAGCGCTTGCCACACTGCTACTGTCGAGAATCAACACCTTGAGTTTCGTTAGTCCCTTCATAGCATCCATCAATGGTTTTGAAAAGCCAAGAGCTTCCCTATAAGAGAGTTTCAAATCGACGAGCGTAGAGCTGCACAAAGCAACGAGATCTGTCACAACATCCATTTGAATGACGTAATTGGAGAGACCGGTATTAATCGAGATGACCTGACTTCAATAAGATGATCGGCTTTTGAGGCTTGAATCGTTTTCCATATGACAAGGTAAGAATTGTACATGAACTAAACATAGACGTTGTAGATAAACCATGCTAGGCATTGACAACGGATTCTTCCACATCATAACAAAACTACTGGCACTTGATGACTTAAATAGACACAAGGAACGATAGGCCAAAGGCAATATCGCAACAGCCCAAGACCTTCCTAGAAAACGTAAATTAAGTAGACCCCTAATAGACGAGAAGTCGAGATACGCAACATCAACGGTATTCGAATCACTGGAAGGATGGAATGGCATATTGCGCATATAGTGGCCTAGAATCAACTGCACTAATTCTACAGGTAAATAGTTTGAGCCAGGCCTCATGATTTGAAATAGTGGATAGGATAATGCGACGAACAAGGCCCAAAATTTTCAACCTTATAATCAATAAAGATGTCAGTTAACACCAATAAATACACACAAAATAAGGAATAAGGAAGTTAGCCCCAAAGAAAATTGTACCTGTTGAAAGTCCACAAAAACGATGTTACCAGGATAGAACATCAAGCAATCCATCAAACGGAGGATACGCACAAAAATAATTGGGGCGGAATCAACATGAATGATACACATCACACCATGCAGATCAATTCCGCACAGTCTGTGTATCCAGTTTTCAACACTACACCAGTATCAAATCACACCACGTTCCTTTGCCGGAAGGTCCCGCCACGACACGTGTCATAGAAAGCAAATATAACGCCCAAGGAAACACATAATACCAGAATAAAACAACCCTCGTGATAATTGGGCATGGGTTCCAACATATGCTATCCCTAATGACCAAAACAAAGAGTTAATTAACACAGGAGGACAGGAACAAACACGGCTCTTGACAAAAGAAAACCAACTTGGCAAATTTGATAGGCAGCAGCTGCGAGTCAGATACCAACATTGTGCGTGACGTTCTTGATGCTGAAGAACCAGAACTACTTCACTACATTCAATACCTGTTGTATACCTATACACATTAAGAATTGGGGCAACCTCGCAATAAACCGGCCATTGTAAGCATTCTATACCCAAGTCACATAGTAGAAGCACAGGCCCACAATGGTGACGTAAAAATCATGCAAAGGGGCGGATGAGTAAAATCCCAATGCCGGATTGCCAATGGCCTAAAAACGCCATTGCAAATTCCAAAACCGAGTACATCAAGGAATCAAGGATAAATCATTTTTTATGCCATTATCACTCCTCATACGACAAACAAATAGGAAATGTAATATAGTTGGCCAAAAGCCCTGGACTCAACATTATCGACGCACACAAGTCGCAATCATAAACGAATTAACGTCTGCAATATACAAGTCTTGTAAATCATACGTTCCATCAACTTACAATATGATCCAAATATTCTAACGCTCAAAAAAAAATCACCTATGATTATTTGATTCATTGTCATAATAACCCCGCACCAGATCCTGATTACAACATCCCCTATCAACAAAAACCCTATGCTGCTATCATAAAAAAGAAAATGATGTTTACATGAGCAAGGTAATAAGAGTGGAAAACAATATGACACAAACAGAATATCCTTACTGCATTACTTTCAAAAACTAATTATCTCCAAAGTTCGCATAACTTACGATACAAGGATATCGCCAAAAAAAAATTTATAATCCTGGAGGCACGTAAGACAAAGTATTAATCACCAGTTCAAAGAACGTAACAAAAATTAAAAGACATTAAACATACCAATAGTTGCTTATATGTTAACACATGCCTAAATAAACATTTGATTCCGAAGTCAGCGCATAGGCGCACTAATTCTGCATCCTCCTCCTCACAACCATGCCAAGTAGTAAAAACTATATATTTGAATTTTGTAGGTTTCCTAACCGTATGAATGTCCGCCCGCTTCAAAGCCTTGCGCCAATACTTGCTACCATTGGAATAATCGGTGATCAATAATTCCATCTCATCAAATAAACCACCTTGCAGCCAAAATAAATTATATTTGAAAGACTTCCATCCTGAGCATCGGATAACCCGGAGACGGGGAAACGTGAAGGTGCATATATCAATAGGTAAATCATCCGAGATGCAGTTAAAAAACAAGATTTCGATTGAGTCTTTCAAAGCCATAATTAATTGCCCTGATTGCTCTGTCCCATCAGGCGTTAGGCATTCCAAGAAATTGATGTGCATTCCACCTGTGCGACAGAATTCAGTAATCGCGTCAACATTCTTACGATCACATTCTACCCATAAGTGACACAGGTTTGGCAAACAATCATTCTGTACAGTCAGACTATCGAGAGAAGCACATTGAATCGAAAGAGACCGTAAGGTAGGACACGAGCTCAGAAATTTTCGCAATGAATTGCAGTCATTAATAGTGTTTCGCATGCGGCTACCATCTATGATCAATACCTCGAGACCACGAACACGTCCCAAGCCACTTATCATTCCAGCGGAGAAACCCATTGCAGCAAAAAAACCTAAACGAAGACTTAATAAAGTCTTGCCACACAAAGTAATGAGATCCTCCACTACATCAATTGGGATCATAAGGCCACTGATATCGTATAAAGCCACATCTCTGGTATAATGATAGTTGAAACTCGGTAATTGATGACCACCGACCGTAACACAATCAGCGACATAGTGAATATTAGTTAAGCCAAGATTCGACAACCGAAATGTGCTCGTCATGAACGCCGGAGTTTTCCACATAATCACCAGTTTTCGCGCGTTGATGGCCTTCATAATGAGCAATGAGTTATAGACATATTGTAATACTGCCATATTCCAAGATTTGCCTAGCAATCGGAGACGAAGAAAATGAACCGCAGAGTTGAAATCTGAGAATCGGATATCGGCACTGTTTGATTCGTTCGGAGGAAAAAAAGGGATTTTGTCTACGAGATGAGAGAGAATCATATGCACTAATTCAACAGGTAAAGTTATTGACTTGGACGACAACATTTTGTGAGTCAATAAGAATCTTGATGCAGTAAGAGTGAATCAAGATGCCATACAATCATCGAGTTAATAACAAAAGCTCACCGAGCATTGGGGCGACACCAAACGAGTTCATCATAGGGATCAATTGCTCTTGATTAATCTCCGTATCCACTTTGGACTCTACATCCCGGTTTTGACAGGGAGATAGGTGGAAGAGCAAGAAACGAATGGGGCGTATCAAAACCATTGGGTATTGAGTAGAACAATGAAGATGTGGCCGTTTCATGAAGCGTTGTTGGAATCCAAGAAGATAGGTTGAAAAATTCAAGATGATGTACTACAACAAACGAAATCGTTATCGATTTCAATCCGGTGAAAACCAAGCACATTCCAAAGTTGCCACAGCCAACACATGACAAAAAAGTTACACTGGCTTATTTACTATGATCGTCCTCTGTAAGTTGGTCCGATCATTCCATTGCACAAACGCAATGTAGAGGTAGTTTAAGTTCATACCCATATATTTGGTGCGACCTGTTCCCCAACTATCCACTACGGAATGCGAGAGGTGTCAAGGTGACAATGCAAAAATCAAAAAACGAAAATCACAATTCCCGGGTGCGAAATTCAAAAATCAAAGACAAAACTACAGAAAATACTCAAATACAGGGATAAAACCCCTGTACCGGAGTAAAAGTCATGGCAGAAACCCCTTTCAGACCAGGTTACGGCCCAAATTTCAGTAGATTTACAACTTGAAACTCAACATTTGTCACCCCATTGTCGCATTGACACAAAAAGTACCAGGAAACCACAAAAGAGGACATCAAAATTCAAAAATCAAAAAATCAAAAAATCAAAAGTCGAAAATCAAAAAACAAATGTCGATAATCAAAAAACGACAATTAACAAACCATAAACAAAGACCCCAAAAATGAAAACTTCACATTAGATGATGAAAAGTGTACCTCTCTACCTCTACCTCTCAACCAATCACACAACCCACACACCATCACCGATCATCTTAGTCATTCCTCCAACTTTTGTTATAGTCTCCACCCATCCACTTGTTCAACCAAACCTACACTACACTGAACCTCTTTGATTGTCTCCACTCTTCTTCATCCTTATTTGATTGTCTCCACTCTTCTTCATCCTTATTTGATCGTCTTCACTCTTCTACACTACACTGAACCTCTTTGATCGTCTCCACTCTTCTTCATCCTTATTTGATTGTCTTCACTCTTCTACACTACACTGAACCTCTTTGATCGTCTCCACTCTTCTTCATCCTTCTTTGATTGTCTTCAATCTTCTTTGATATTCTTGGATCGGCTTCACCCTTCTTCAACATTCTTGTATTGGCTTCATTGTTCCCTAGTATTCTTCAATTCTCTTCGATCTTCTTCAATCTTCTTCAATATTCTTGAATTGGTTTCAATCTTCTTCAATCTTCTTGAATCGGTTTCAATCTTCTTCAATCTTCTTCAATCTTCTTGAATCGGTTTCAATCTTCTTCAATCTTCTTCAATCTTCTTGAATCGGTTTCAATCTTCTTCAATCTTCTTCAATCTTCTTGAATCCTCTTCAATATTCTTCAATCTTCTTGATTCGGTTTCATTCTTCTTGAATCAGTTTCAATCTTCTTCAATGTTCTTCGATCGACTTCAATCTTCTCCGATCGACTTCAATCTTCTTTGATCGACCTCAATCTTCTTCAATCAGCTTCTTCTTCGACTTTGGTTTCTCTCAGATACTCATATTTCACTATCATGAACCAACCTACTTGTCCCTTATGTCAAAGTACTCTCCGTCAAGGCGAACACAAAATATGTGGACCCTGCCTTGAAAACATCAATGCGGACCAAAACAAAAAGGTTCCTTCTCCCCCCCAGCAGGCACCCACCCAAGCTTCTCAACCCCGCCCTGCCAATCTCAAGGTCATCAATGCCAAAGCAGCTGTTGCAGCCCGTACCT